GGCGGTGATGAAATCGACCCTCGCCTACTCTTCAATAAAATTTTTGAAGAACCAATAAACAAGTATAACGAAAACCAAAAACGCTCTGACAGAAAAATCAAAGATTATTATCAGCGAGTTTTGGATGATGGACGATTCGGAAAAACAAAGACTCTCAAAATCGGAAACAAAACTAAAACCATAGATATATCAAAAAAACCTATCTATGAGTTCATAATCCAGATTGGAAACAGAGATGAACATCCTGATTCTCAAGAAGCAAAGAAATTATTCAAAGAATTTATATTTAAGGTTTGGAAAGAAAAGTTCGGAAAAAACTTTAGAATTGTTCGTGTAGATTATCATGATGATGAATATTCCCAAGATAAAGATGGAGAATACACAATAAAAAGTCCTGCTCATATTCATGTTGCTTTCGTTCCAGTTGTAGAAAAAACTCCTGAAGAATTAAAAGGAAAAGGTGTATTTAAGCTCGAACTTCAACATTCTCTTTCCCAGGCTTGTGAGCAGGCAGGTTTCAAAACTGACCATCTCACAGAAGAAGAAAGAGCCATTAAAAATGAAATAAAAGCAAATATCAGAAAAGCAAAAGAAGAAGGCAACAAAGAATTAAAAGAACAGTTGCAGGACCAGTTAATCGCCTACACTACTTTTACAAGTCAGCAGAGATTTGAAGAATCTGTAAGATTTGCTTTTGCAGAATTTTGCAGAGCCAATGGAATGGAAATAGACCTTACACCAGGAAAGAAACATAGCCATCAGAACAAACAACTTTATCAATTAAACCAGGAAAAAAAGCGACTGGAAGAAACAATCGAAAAGAAAGAACAACTCGAAATTATTGTAGATTCAAAAATAGAAGCTCTTAAAAAAGATAAAGCAGATTTTGAAGTCGAAAAAAAGAACCTGGAAACAGAACAAAAAAAGAATGCTGATGAGAGAAAGGAAATCAATTCTGCGATAGATAAATACAATAAAGCTGTTGAAGATGCAAACGAATACTACGACAACAAAAATAAACAAATAATTGAAAGAGAAACAGCTGTATCGAAAAGAGAAAAATCAGTTGAAACTCTAGAACAAGATAAAAAAGTCTTTGAAGAATCTAAAGAGAATGCAGAAAAAGAACTTAAAAGAAAAACTGATGAATTAGAAACAGCAACAGCAAACTTTAATAAACAATATACGGAAGCTGATACTTATTTCAAAGAACAACAGACTCAATTTGAGCAAAACCAAAAAATCATTGATGATTTTAATAATACCTATGAAGAAAAATCTCGGAAGATTGCTGAATGGGAAATTGTAGAAAAATCAATAAATGATATTCAGCCAGAACAATGGGTTGATAAACTTTGGAAAGAAGCTCAGACACATAGAAGCATGCCGAAATTCCTTAAAGCAATTTCGGATGGTGTTAAAGGTTTTGTTGCAGGTGTCAAAAAAAGTTATGACAAACTTCTCCATGGTCATAAAAGATATTATGAAAATAAAAACGGAAAATCTGTTTGTGAATACAGTTTTGGAACCCAGGATTTTACAGAAATGCTAATGGATACTCCTATTGATGATATTCAGAAAGCTATCAATGAATGTAAACTAAAGAATAAAAATACTTTTAGAGAAGCTCAGGAAGAAGAAGGATTATCCTTTTTTGAAAGACATTTCAAAAGAGCAAAAGAAATTAAAAGAGAAATCGAAAGAACTCTGGAACGAACTAGAGGTATTTCTCGATAAACAAAGAGCTTCTTTTCCGCCAGGATCAGAAGCTCTTTGTAACTTGGTAGTCAACTACTCTATTTTTTTATATTTGAAGCTGATTCTTTTTCTAAAAATCTTTAGAAATATGAAAATTAAATAATAAATCAGCCCCATTAAAACTAAAATTCCACTGATAACTAGAGAAATAATCTTAAACAAATGACTCTCGCTTATAAAATTTGGATGTATAAAATCTACTGAAAAAATAAGCAATCCCAGAAGCCCAAAAATGAAAACGGCTAACTTTACAGCCTTTATTTCATAAAAAGCACACTCTAGGCAAATCCTTTTTTCATGAATTTTATCAGTAGCTATTGAGAGCCTATACTTTATTGTCTTATCACAAATTGAACATCTACAAGTTCTGGCGGTATCTTTCATTTAATCTCCTTTATGTAAGTCAGTAGTCAAGTAAACAATGTAATTTGGTAGTTAATTAAAAATCATGTAACTAAGTAGTCAATTAAATCTTAAATCCATCTTCACTCATTTTTGAATAAACTTCTGCATCGACAAATAAAGAAAATAACGGCATTTGAGATTTTACGCTTACTTTCTTTTCGTATTCTTTCCATTCATCAGGATATTTCTGTTTCATTTTTTCAATTTTTAAATCAAAGTCGTCATTTTCTCGTGCGGTTTCTTTATCTTCTTTTGAAGCAGCTTTAGGTAAAACACGAGGAGTTAAATTTTCAGTGCATCGTATAAAAAAACTCTCTACCCTATTGTTTTGACCTCGTTTGTATATAATTTCTGCTGAAAAATTAAATCCACTTTCATTTATTTCCTTAATAGGATTTTTCAAAACCTTTGTTAAAAGATTGTTAGTTCGACCTTCATACAGATTTAATCCAATACTGAACATTTCCTTTAAATCTTTGATAGTCATTTCTTCTGTATCCCACTGATTATAGGAATTTCCCCATTTTCCTTTCATGTTGTAGCGGGATTTTATAATTTGATACCACTTCAAAGCATAAGTAGATTTCAATTTTCCATAAGATTGTAGGTCTATATAAGCATAGCCAGAAGCCTGATTTAAGGCGATCGCTAAAACTCCAGGATGAAAAGTTAGTGAAATTGATTTATCTTTAGATTCTCCGACATCTGAAGCTGTAAGTTCTGACGATTTTGGATGATAATAAAGAGCTTCAACAAACCATGGAAACCATCTGGTTTCATCATCATTTTGAAGTTTTATTTTTTCATCAAAGGCTTTATCAATAGCTGATTCAATTTGAATTCGTTGTTGTCCACCATCAGAAAGTCCTAATGAATCACAAAATTCTTTTGTTGTGAAGGAACATGTAAAATCATCCCACATATCTTCTTTCCAGGTTTTCTTGTTTAACAAATTTAGAGATTTATATTTTTCAATATCAAAGGAATAAGCAAGTTTATATAAACCATAAGTAATCAATTTCATTGAAGTAGGAGAGAAGGTTTTAGTTTTTGCTTTAGCAATAGTTGTTGAAGTTTTTACATAAGGTTTTACTTCTTTTTTCTTATCTTTTTTCATAAATTTGTTATCCTGTATTTAAAATGTAATTATAGTAATTAGAGAGAGAGTAAAACTTGCTCTAAATCCTTATAGAATAAGCATTTAGCAAAATAAAAGTTATCCACTTAACTACCAAGTTACATCCACTTGACTACCAAGTTACACAAAACCACCTTCACTTGACTACCAAGTTACATTTTAACCTTTTTTGGAGTTATCCACATGACTACCAAGTTACATTTATGGGGGAGTGTGTCTTGATTGACTACTCATACAAGTAGTTAATTATAAGATAGTTGTAATTTTTAAAAGTGGCAAGTAAAAAAGCAGAAAAAATAAAAAATAATTATGTTAGTGTATTTAATAACATATATAATACTAAAAAAGAGACCCTCAAAAAAGCTCCAAAAACGCGTCATTTTAATGAGATAGTGAAATTATACTACCTGGCACTAAAAAGCCTCTCAAAATCAATCCTCGTGCGTGTTTTTAAAATTGTAAAATTTCACTATAAAAAATAAAGTAAAACACTTTATATTAAAGTAAAAATAAAGTATATATGATAGTATTATATATAGTGTATATTATACAAAAACGCTTTATATTAAAGTGACAAAAATTAAAACATATGATATAATTTTTGTAAGTTTTCAAAAATGGGAGGATTTTAGAAATTGAAAACAATCTGTATTTATAACAATAAAGGCGGTGTTGGTAAGACATCTGTAACTGGAGCTTTGGCTGTTGAACTTGTAATAAAAGGAAAAAAAGTCCTGATGGTTGATACAGATTCCCAGGGCAACTTATCCACTCAATTTATGAATAAAGCTCCTATCGAAAATGAACTTGCAGACTATTTGAATGATTATTCCATCGGTTTAAATTCTTGTGTTTACAAAACTCGTTATGACAATCTTTACATAATTCCATCAAAAGAAATGATTGCAGGCGGAAAGCTCAACGATTGGTTTACAAATGGAGCTGTAAAAACTGAAAACTCTGATATTGCAAAATATCTTGTAGAGGATGCTGAAAAACTCGGCTTTGATTATCTGATTTTTGATACAGCACCAGCTTTTTCAGAAGCAAATAAAAAGTTTATTCTTGCTTCTGATGAAGTTATTCCAGTTCTCCAGGTTGCAAAAAGTTCAATGGATGGCTTGCTGAATTATCATGTGAGCTTGCAGAAATTGAAGGGAAGAAATACAAAACCTTTAAGCAATAAAATTATTTTCAATCAGTTTGAAAAATCAAAGGCTGTTCAGAAGGCTCTTTTACCAACTATTGAGGAAATGGAAAACAAAAAATATTTAATTCCAGTAGACCAGGCTTTTAGAAAAGCTGAATTAGGTGGAATTGCAGCTCAGGAAATTGGAATTAAACCTGAAACCCAGGAAGTTTTTAATCAAATTCTTGCAGATATAGAAGGGTAGGAACATGAAATTAAATCAATGGGAATTAGCTTGTATTGAATACGCTTTAAGAGATTATATAGACAAATTAAAGGATTCTGATCGCACTGATTTAATCAGTGGTTCAGAATCCGCTTATGAAAAATTGATTGCTTTTATTAAAGATTGCGAAAGTAAATGTGATGTTGGAAATTATGCTTATACAACAGAATTGAAATTTGATAAAAAAGATAGTCCAATGTCCAAGAATACAAAAACTTCTGTTTATGAATTGATGGTATTTTTCAAAGATGAAGACCAACCAACTGAAACAGAATATTACGAAAAGAAATCTGATGCAGAAAAACGAAAGGAATTTATCTTAGCTGATAAAGATTCCTGGTTTCGTGCAGAAGAAGTTGAAGCAATAGAAATCAGTGATGAACCTCAAGAACGAGAGTTTGTTTAATTTTGGGAGATTATAAAATGGCAAAGAGTACAATTAAGCCTAGTTCGGCAATTGCGGATGGTATTTCAGATTTTAAGGAAAGAGCAAATGCTATTTCCCAGGATATGACAGAAGAAGTAAAGAAGGAAGAAGTTAAGGCTGAAAAATCTAAGAAGGAACAGCTTGTAAACTTCAAACTTCCCATTGATAAATACGAAGAATACAAAAAGATGTTTGGTGCAGAAGGATTTTCTTTTTCAAAGGGAAATAGAATGTGCCTGGATTACATTTTAAGAGAAATTCGTGATGGAAACCTGGAACTGACAGAATCAGGATTCAGAAAAACAGCATCTGGAAGAGTAGGTAGATAAAATGGCTGAAATAAAATTAGCCACAGTTTTTAGTGGTATTGGTGCTATAGAACATGCATTGGAAAGAATGAATCTCAATAACAAAATTGTTTTTGCTTGTGATAATGGAGATGTAGATGTTCTTTCAAAAAAGATTGATGAAAAAATAGAAGCTGTAGAAGAAGAATTAAAACTCTTAACAGCTGAAATAAAAAAAATAGATATTCAAAGTGAAGAAGATAAGTTATACAGAGATGAACTTGATTTAATTTTGGCTAAAACAAATGAAGAAGTCAAAGTATATAAAGGCATGACTTCTGATAATTCAAGTGAACATCAGATTGCTAGACAGTTAAAAGATGTGTGTCAAAGAACTGGAATGCTTCATGAAAAAATCAATTCATTTAGAATATTAAAAGAATTATCCAAAATGGATAATTATGATGATAGAAAAGCTTATGTAGATTCTCTTTATAAAGGGAAAGAATCTAGCAATAAAGTAAAACAAACTTATATGGCAAATTATAAGCTTGAAGATAAACATTTTCATTGGAATGTTTCGTTTTTAGACGGAAATCAGTATAAAGACCAGGTTGATTTATTTGTCGGTGGAAGTCCATGCCAATCATTTAGTTTAGTTGGTAAACAAAGAGGATTAGCAGATACTCGCGGAACTTTATTTTATGAATATGCACGCTTGGTCAAGGAAATAAGACCAAAAGTTTTTATATATGAAAATGTAAAAGCTCTGTTAAGTAATGATGAAGGTAGAACTTGGGAAACTATTTCCAAAGTTTTTACTGATTTGGATTACGTTTGGAAAAAAGCTGTTTTAAATGCAAAAGACTATGGTATTCCTCAAAATAGAGAAAGAGTTTTTGTTGTTGGTTTTAGAAAAGATTTAAAATTGGATAAAGAATTTGAATTTCCTGAACCTATAAAACTTGAAATAAAAATGCAAGATTTACTTTTGGATAATGTTCCAGGTGGATATTTCTTGGCAGAGAAGGGAGTTAATTTTGTTACTGATGAAAAAAATCTAAATAAAAGATATACACAAATTGATGGTGAAATACAGTTGTGTCAAAAGAAAAATCAACAGTTTAATTGGCATGGAGATTTTGTTTTCCAAAGTGAAGAAGATGCTAAAAAGAATATCAAAACAGATTTAGAAAAATATTTTTTATCTGAAAAAGTTAGAAAATATGTTCTTTCGTCAGGAACAAAAAATTTCTATTCAAAACCTAAAACTGATTTAGAAGTTGCAAGACCTTTATTAACAACAATGCATAAAATGCATAGAGCTGGAGTTGATAATTATGTAACAACAGATGGTCGTTTAAGAAAATTAACCCCAAGAGAGTGTTTTAGACTTATGGGATTTAGTGATAGCTTTATAATTCCAGTCTCAGATACTTCTGCATATCAGCAAGCCGGCAATTCAATTGTTGTTGATGTTTTAATAAACATTATGAATAAAATCATTGAATCATATCCAAGTTTGATAAAGTAACAAGAGGATAGGCTTATGAAAATTTTGGATGAAAATTGGCAAGTTAAAGAAATCTATGATTCTGTGGTTACAGTCCCAGATTGCTTTGTTGTAAATAAAAATCAATTAGGAACTGGTCATGGAGAAGCAAAATTATATTTTGGCTCTAAAGAAACTGTTAGAAATTTTTTTGGACCAGAAGGATTTTCTGCAAAATGCTTCATGTTAAAATCTGATTTACTTAATTATTTAACAGCTGTAAAAACAGAATATTTTTCACCATCTCAAAATTATGTTGGTAAGGATAATTTTCAAAATTTATGGGTTGAACGATTGGCTCTCGTAAATTCTTTGGATGACATTATTTGGTTTAATGTTGATGATCAAACACAAATAAAAGGTCCAAGAGGATATCTTAATTCCAGTGATGAAGGATATAAACTAATAAGAAACTTAGCATTACCTTTAATTAGTTATATATCCTCAATGATGTTAATTCAGCCTGACGGTTCAATGGTTTGTTATTGGAAATTATTTGTAGATTTTGATGCAATTGCAGAGAAAAAAAATGGACCATTAGTATTTTATTACGGGAAAAAGAAAGTTGAAGATGATGTCCAAGAATCAGGAACAAAAAAACTTGTTGCTGAAGGTTCTGAGGAATCAAATTATGCTCGCCAAGGACAAGGAAAGTATAGAGAAAACCTTTTGGAAGAATGTCCTTTCTGTCCTATAACAATGGTAAATGATGAAAGACTTTTGATTGCAAGTCATATTAAACCATGGGCTGTATGTTCTGAAAAAGAAAAAGTAGACCCTAAAAATGGATTTATGTTATCGCCAGTTTATGACAAATTATTTGATAGAGGTTTTATAACTTTTACAAATGATAAACATTTGGTTTTATCTAATTGGATTTCACCAAAAAATTATGAAAGACTTGGGGTTGTCAATGATTCATATATCCAAAGACTTCCTTTGGATGAAAAAAGAATTGAATACCTAGAATACCATAGAGCATCTGTTTTCAAAGGATAGTGAATAAAGAGCCGATATTCCGCCAGGATCATCGGCTCTTTTTGTTTAAGGTAGACAGAAGAACCATTATGTGTAGTCTTATTTGCATTATTTTATATGTTAGTGTATAATATAACATATAAAATACCGAAGGAGAAAAACATGGAAGATTTACCAGGAACAAGACTTTTATTTGCTGATGATGGAACACCATTCCCAGAGCCTAAAAAGAAAGTTCGCAAACAAACAAAATCTGATATGACATTTGAGCAAGCTGTAAAAGCTCTGCAAACAACTCATACATTATCAACAAGAATGATTTGTGAGTTACTTAAAACATATCGCCCATGGGTTACAAAATACATTCTTCCAAAGTTGGATAAGATTTATTTGAACAATGGAAAAATGGGAAATTCCAGAAAGTCCTTCGGTATGAACTGGGTTTATATGGCAAGCCAGGTTCTCAATAATGATGAAATAACTGAATCTGCCTGGTATAAGACAAGCGACTTTGAAGCTCTGCTGAAAAGATCGCTGTCTACCTGCACAAGACAAACTATAAAGGTATCTGCAACAATCTTTATGAATGAGCATGACAGAGAATCTTTCCTGACACGCTATAACATCATTCAGGAAGATTTGCAGGAGAACAAAAAGAAAAGATATACAGAAAGGTCTATGGAACTTTCCAAAGAAAAAGCCGACCTGGAAGCACAGCTTGAAGGTCTTTTTGATAAATACATCGGTGCAGACATTATGAAGGAACTGAAAGATGTTGTTTCCATCGAGGAATACGGAATATCAAAAAGAACACTTACACCGCCATTAAAATATGAAATGGAATGGGATTATCATAATTTTATGGCAATCCATGACCTGAAAGGTTATGGCGGAATCGATGAACTTGTTTATCGTGATTTGTTCGATAACGGAGCTGTAAAGCTCGTTTTCAACTTTGTTGCTCCCAATGGTGACATTGGGGAAAAGGTGTTCTATACCTACGATGAAAACGATAAAAAATATCGTTTGAATGATGGTGCTCCAGAATGGGCTGTTCCCTACACCTTTTTTATGAAATATAAAAAAGTATAACCACTCCATTTGCAAAAATTCCGTACAATAGGTCGATAAAAAGTTAAATATCGCAATCTAGAGAGGTCTACGGAATGAACAGAGTTGAATACACTTCATCAACAACTTTCAATGCAGAATTGGAAGCTCACAAGATTTCACAAGAAAAGTTTTGGCTTCTGCCGGAAAAAGACAGAAGCCTTATTTTAAGTCGGTATGCTTCATGCGTTGTTCAACGAGTAAGCAACAGACGATTTAATCCTCATGTACACCAGGCGATTGTAAGCAGAAAGAAAAAAGATTTTTTTGAATGGGTAACTACCCTGCGATGCTACGAAAAAATCAAAAAATAATATATGTTAGTGTATATTATAACATATATTATCACCAAGGATGGAACATCCCAGGCTTTGAGAAAACGAAGTTTTCCAAAGCACGAGGACAAAGTCCTCGAACAGTTTTTAAGCGGATTCGATGGTCCTGGAGCAAAAGGCGGAAGGATCAAGCGAAGCTGCTTAAAAATGGAAGAACTCGCAGGAGCGGACTTCGGTAATTTTCAGAGAAAATTATCCGAAGTTTGAAACAAGAATTCTTCCACGAGGGTGAGAAAAATTGAACTGTAGATGGCTTCGTTCAGAAGATAGATACAGCAAGATTTTTCGAGGGGAACGCAATCCCCTGGGAGTGTCGAGGGTCTACCCTGACGAGAGATAAACCGACGATACGGTTTGGGGCCCCGCTGTTATGTTGTTATGAGTTGCTTTAGCACGAAATGACAATATTACTGTGGGGTTGCAGTCTTGTTGACAAACAAGACAAGGGGCTTTAAACTAGATTTTGAGCTGAATTATGAAGCTCAAGGAGTATATATATGGCAGAAAATCAAAGCGGATTTTCTGGCTATACAGCTTCTGCCCACTGTAAACCAGAATACAATTTCGCTCACAATTTACGCATTACAGACAGCGTTTACAACCAGGAACACATCGGTCCAGGAGAACATGAAAACTGGATTGGCGGTGATGAAATCGACCCTCGCCTACTCTTCAATAAAATTTTTGAAGAACCAATAAACAAGTATAACGAAAACC